AAATACAATTAGTAATTGTTAGTAGATACAATTATTAGAATGGAAAGGAAATTAAAGCGCACAAAGTATAATCATTATTAAATTTAAATAGTCAAGTAGTCAATTATAATTGTGTAATTTACATATATATTGACTTATTTCATTGGATTACATACATATAAAATATATCTGGGAAAATGTTTCACAAAATTACAAAACTTTGAATGCTTATAAATTAAAAACGCGAGCAAATTTTTTTTATCCATTTAGAGATTTTAGTCTACTGATGTTCTACTTTCATTTCCCGTTGGTCTCATTTGGAAAAGATTTTCTTGTTGCACAGTGTTATATACAAATTTTATTTAACTTCTTTTTTTACATAATTTTTTCTAAAATCAAAATTCAGAATCATATAAAAGAAAAAATCTTTCTTATTTTTGTTTAATTTTGTATATTATGTGGCATTGGTTTTCTAGCTTACCAGAAAAATTTAGATTGGGATTCCTACTAGTTTCCGAAATATGACCAAAAATGTCCATGTATCTTTAAAAGAATGTGTGTAATTGTGAAATTTGAATTATTCCTAAAGTTCTTCTGCTTTTAGCTAAAGTTCGTCTGATTTCAGTTTATTTTAACACGTTCGCTAATTTTGTTTTAGTAAACTATGGTATAAAATAAGCCAAAAACCCAACCCCATCCGTCGAGTCCTAGCCCTTCGAATAACATGCGGTCTTAACCCATTAATGCCCTCAGTTACATATATGTAACGCAAATTAATTAAAATTTGGACTCGAAATGCACAGAAATGGAAAATGCAAAGTTACTTTTTTCTGGTGGAGAGGTTAACTTAACATGTTCTTAACGATTATAAATCGAATTTAAGTAATTTTTGCCTATAGAATTGTATTTTTGGGTTATTTTGTAAAGTGCCTATTTCGTAAACCTGTAAAAAGTCATATTTTTCGAGGAATGAATTCTTAGAATGTTAATAACTTCTATGTAGTTAGTTTTTAAAAAAAGTTTCTGGCGTAAACTTATAAAGAAGTAATTAATGTTTATTACCTAATTGTTTACAAACATATACCATGTCCTTGCGGAGACTTATAAAGAGGATAATAAAGGTGTTACGTATATGTAACAGTGGGCAGTTCTCAGTACTTTTTGTCCCACTCTACATACGATATAAATAATGAACAACTTACTTACTTTTTTATGAAATCTGCCTCAAAAATAGTTTTTTATCAGAGGAATGGGTTTTTAACGTAATAAAAAACAACATATTTTCTTGAAATATTGATATTTGATGACAAGCAATATATTTTTAATGTAAATGTTTCTATTAAATCGTCCTTTCGTGGATATTTTAAATTTTTTAAGAATTTCTGTAAAGGATATGCCATTTGACCGCATTAGAAATTGTTCAAGGCACAGTTGGCGAATCTTAAATATATATTTTTACTAGAAAATCGGAATATAATTGCAATTATCCTTCAAAAATTAAACATCGGTTGAAAATTATTACCATTTTCTTGGGATATTAGGGAAATTGCAAGGATACTAGTGCCAAGGACCTTTGGTAAATGTATGCAAAATGTGTAACGTTAATCAATATATCTGTTGCTGCAAGAAAATATACACATTTCTTTAAATTCATTAATTGACATTACAGAAATTACAAAATTCCACAAATTAAAATTTTATACTTTTAAATAATTTTTTATTTTATATGAAAAAATTTTGTATGATACACCAAATTAGCTAATCCAAGCTTAAAACTTAATAATTAACCAGTTTTTTTACAATTTTTTTGTAAAAATATGTAACTTTTACTTAAAATACTTAAGGGACAAAAATTCGTGGGTAATGCCCACTGTTACGTATACGTAACGTCTTCTAAAATCCAAACAAGGCAAGATAGAAAAATGTTTTTAATTAAAATCGGTTTATATTCACAAGTAAACTGTCATATCCAAATTTCACATTTCTACCTTACCGAGATCGCCGTGGGCATTAATGGGTTAATGTTATACTTTTATAAATTTGAATTGTTTAACAACACCTCTGTCAACAATCTACTATTATAGTTTGTATACTCAATTTTTACCAAGTTCCCTGGTTAACCGAGTATGAGTATCGATATACATAATTATAAATAAAACAAATCACAAACTTTAATAATGTACCGACCTTACGTAAATATAGGATTTGCATAAATTCATAACAACTTGTACTTAAAAGACTAGAGTATTAAAAGGAATATGAAACAAAACTTAAATTTTATTTTCCCATACTGACCCTTAATGCCTAATAACATTTCCATTTAAAGCACAAATACATACATACATATGTATGTAATTATATTTGCAAATTGAAAATATATACGAAATTCCTTTTACTATTTATACAAACAGACAAACCCACAGATATCAATGGATTATATTCCTAAACATACAACATTCAAACGCATTACAATCAAAGAACCTTTTAAAATGGAATTACCCAAAAAAAATATAAGTCAGTAAAAGAAAATAAATCCCAGAATGGATAAGAGTTCTCTTGCCACAGAAATATCCTGTTTTCATAATTAGTGCTCTTGAATTTTGTATCTCTGTATTTCCTCTTTCATTTATTTAAATTTTATGTTTTTTATCTCAATACGTTTTTACATTTGTGAATGCTCATTTATCTGTAATGGTTGTGTGTGTATGTGCCATGAACAACACATTGAATAAAGGAAATAAGCATTGCAAACAGGAAACGGAAATTAAAAATCCTCTATGTACTACTACAGCTGCTTGTTCACTGTAAGTCAAAGAATGAATGAAATAAAGAATACACTCGTTTATACATTCATTCAAACATACAAACGTATGTACATTTTCTATATACATATTTATGCATATTTGTATAAATATCTGAATGAATCTTTAACATAAACAGTTTTTTTATGCAAAAAAATGAACTTGTTCACTTATACCCACACTCACTCAATTACATTCACAAGAAGATAAACAAGCCATAAATTAATAAATGCATACATACATATGTACATAGATAAAAAATGTTCTACTGATGAACAGCGTGAGGAGCATTAGTACAATATGAATTCATGTATATGTACATGACTTATATGAATAGTTTAAAATGTACATTTTTAAATCGCTTTTCTATTTGGATCATTATATACACAAAAGTAAATATCGGATTACTTACATACATATGTAGGTCAAATAGACTAGAAACCCAAATTTCTAATGAGATCTTAACATCTTTACATAGAAGTTCTCCAATAGGACCGAACTAGGATTTTTATGCCATTTCCTAAACATACAACATATAGGCTGATAGGCGGTTAATAGGAGGATTTTGATCCGCTGTTCAGAATCTTAGTTTCCTGGACATATGTAATTCCTAAGATTTCCTAAGAACGATATAATGCTTCATGCCATTTAATTGGGGAAATACCATCCGGTCCTGCAGCTTTATAATGTGATAGGCTTTTGACTGCCTCCTTTAGATACATGGAAATCGAATCATAAGTCCTCGTTTTTAAACTTCTATAAAGTAGTAATTTAAAAGTTTTCCTCCGTGAAATTTTGAACCAGTATAATATTAATTTTGCAACTAAGTACATCTATGTATGTGTGTATATGTGTAATTATGTAAATTTGATTGTTTATATTCATTAACGTGTTTGCTGTTGTACCTTAATTTAACTACATTTTACTTTGTGTGCGATTGTGTATCTAAGTCAGTATATACTACATACATACATATGTACCTATATTTGTATATTTGTTCATGTGTAATTACTTATTCACATCTTTTGGCTGCTGTGGTTCCTCTTATCATACTTGTTCTCACAAAACGGTAATTATGCAGAAGATGGCGCATAATTTTGCAATATTCTAGGAATGTTGCATAAGCTGTCATAAATTTTGTACTTCATTTTAATTTTTTTTTGTATAGAGAAAATAAAACGAAACATTCATTTCGTCGTTACTTGCCATAAGAAATATATGAGAAAATATTTTTTGTTATAAAATTACTGTAAGAACATACATTATAACCTTACGTAGGTTTATTTATAAATTAATTTAAAAGAATAAACCAACCGATTTCAAATATATGTATGTATGTATGTATGTATGTATGTATGTATGTATGTATGTATGTATGTATGTATGTATGTATGTATGTATGTATGTATGTATGTATGTATGTATGTATGTATGTATGTATGTATGTATGTATGTATGTATGTATGTATGTATGTATGTATGTATGTATGTATGTATGTATGTATGTATGTATGTATGTATGTATGTATGTATGTATGTATGTATGTATGTATGTATGTATGTATGTATGTATGTATGTATGTATGTATGTATGTATGTATGTATGTATGTATGTATGTATGTATGTATGTATGTATGTATGTATGTATGTATGTATGTATGTGTGTAGATTTGATCGTTTTCAAATCCCTTGGTTCAATCCAAAAAAATAGACCTTTATTCAATTTAAAATTAATACAAAGTTCTTTATTGTTTGCTTTTCCTTTATTTACAATGAATATTTGTTACTTGTCTCATCAGCAGCTAAAAATTTACTAAAAAAAATCTGTATACATGTTTTCTTCATTTGATCTACATTCTCTACTGGAAAGTTGCAATAAAGAAGTTAACCTTGAATAATTTGTATTTTAATATGCAATAACGACAATAATATTACTTAATTCGTTGTTGTAATGCACCATCTACAAATGTGTGCTAACATTGTGTAGAGTGGATGCTTACGGTTGTTAAAGTTATTTTGTTGTTGTTAAAACTGATGAGACAATTTCCAAACAATGTATAAGAGAAATAATAATGGTAAACATTAGTGAGTAAATACTAAATACATATATTGCAAACATATGTACATACGTATTAAGAGAATAAGGAAGAGGAATAATAAAAATAATAAGATTAATTAACCCACTAAGGGCTAAACATACTCCCCCGCCATATGCTGGTTCAATTTATTGGTAATTTACATATTTTTGTAATAGCTCTTTTGTGTTGACCATCACTAGTTTTGACAACAACAACTCTAACCTTGTCATCTGGGCCCTTTATTGTCTCCACTATGCGACCTAGATGCCATTTCATTGGTGGCGAATTATCTTCTTTAACTAGTACCATATCATTCGGCTGTAAGTTTACAAACTGGGTAGTCCATTTACGTTTTCCTTGCAACTCATTCAGATACTCCCTTTGCCATCTTTGCCAAAAATGTTGCTGAGCCCATTGAATTTGTTGATATCGTTTAAGTGTTCCTGACACAAAATGTTCGACAGAAGGTTCTGGTACTGTTTGAGCTGTTCGACCGATGAGGAAATGTGAGGGAGTTATTGCGCGAAGGTCATCGGGATCACTGGACATTGGTGTAAGTGGTCTACTATTAACTATTGCTTCAGCTTGGCAACATACGGTTTGTAGTTCATCATACGAAAAGAGATAGGTGCCCACAGCTCTACGAAGAAAATATTTTGCTTGTTTTACTGCACTTTCCCACAAACCTCCAAAGTGTGGGGAACGGGGAGGTATAAATTTCCACTTTATACCTTGTTGGTTACAGTTCTCGCTGACGGCAGCTATGTGGTCCGATGATAGGAAATGTTGAAGTAATAATTTCAGTTCCTTATTTGCTCCAACGAAATTGGTAGCATTGTCTGAATATATGGTATTACATTTGCCTCTTCTGGCTATGAATCGTTTTAGAGCAGCTATGAATGCTATTGTGGTAAGATCCATTACAACCTCCATATGAATAGCCTTTGTTGTGAAGCAAATAAATACGGCAATGTATACCTTTGTTGGTTGCTTACCTCTTATACGATGAGTAATTGAAAACGGACCGCAATAGTCCACTCCGGTAATAGTAAATGGGTATGAAGGTTCGACTCTATCTCTAGGCAATGATCCCATTATTTGTTGACATATTTGGGGTCGACAACGATAACAAATAATGCAATTGTGTATGGTGTGGCGAATTGTGTTCCGAGCATCTATAATCCAAAAGCGATCACGAAGAAGACTGTTGAGTGTTTGAGTTCCAGCGTGCATGTGGATTCGATGATGGTGATTAATGAGTGTTCGAACAAATGGGTGATGATTAGGCAATACAATCGGGTGAATGGCATCGAAAGACAACGATGAATTCTGAAGACGACCGCCTACACGAATAAGACCATCTTTGATGAATGGTGAGAGTTGTACTAATTTTGATTGGTGATTTATAACGTTAGTTTTGGACAATGCCTTATATTCTTCAGAAAAGGATTCCACTTGAATAATAGTACAGATTTTTAATAATGCTTGATTTTCTTCATCAAGTGTGATATGACCCCTTTTAACTTCCTTTGTTTTTTTAACTAAAGCAATAAATCTATTCACATAGGCAAAAATTCTTAGAGTCTTTTTGTAATTATTGATGTATTTAAAATCGAAGAATATATTTGGTGATTGATTTACGATGAGAGTCGCAGCCTTAGTTTTTTCTTCAGGAATATCTTCATAATTGTGATGTGGTAATTGTGGCCAATTATTGCGTGTTTTTAGGAGAAATTCTGGGCCTTCAAACCATAATTTATTGTCTATGAGATCAGCAACTTTTACTCCTCTAGACACTAAGTCTGCTGGATTTTCTGCTGTTGGGCAATAGTGCCATTCAAAATTTGACGTAATATTTTTGATTTTTTGAACTCTGTTAGACACAAACTGGTTCCATTTTGCTGCATCTCCTTTTATCCATGATAGTGCAATTGAAGAGTCACTCCAGCAATGAATGTTATTAGGGGAAACATTTTTAATGTTGCATACCTCGTTAAGTAGCTCAGAGGATAGAAGTGCAGCTGATAGTTCAAGTCTGGGTAATGTAATTGGTTTAATCGGAGCAACACGTGATTTTGCACACAACAATGACGATGTACCATCTATTCTGGAAACAGCATATATGCATGCTCCATAGGCCTTTGTACTTGCGTCAGCAAAGGCATGAATTTCAGTATCAGAATTTATTTGTACTAACCTTGGTATTTTAACTTCAGCTATTTGCGGCATTTGTTGACAAATATCTTCCCATTGTGTGGCAATCCATTGGGGTACGCTTTCATCCCATGAAAGTTTAAGTGTCCACATGTGTTGCATTAAAATTTTACAACTTACGATGATAGGATTTATCCAACCCAATGGATCAAAAAATGTGGCGATGTGGGATAAAATTTTACGTTTCGTTGTTTTTGTCCTTGATAATGGTATTTCGTAGTTAAAAAGAAAATTGTCTTCCTTTGGTGACCATTTTAAACCGAGTGCCTTTATGAACTCTGTGCCATGTATTTTTATTAATTGTTCTTTATCTGATGAACTAATATCTTTAATAATATCAGGAACATTTGATGCAAACTTTCGTAATGGAAATCCACCAAACTTTAACAATTGAACAACTTGATTTTTTATTTCGATAACTTCCTCTATTGTATTAGCACCAGTCATTAGATTATCTACGTAGAAATCTTTAAGGGTAACTTCAGCACCTGTTGGAAAAACATCTACATTATCCTTAGCAAGTTGCTGTAAACACTTTGTAGCTAAAAATGTGGCACAGCTAGTGCCATATGTAATGGTTTGTAATTGATAAACATCCACTTCTTCCATCGATGAATTACGCCACAAAATACATTGAAACCTTAAATCATCTGGATTGACGAAGACCTGCCGAAACATTTTTTCAATGTCAGCCATTAAAACAAAACGATGTAAACGAAAACGAAATAAGATGGTGAACAAGTCATCCTGCAGTGTAGGTCCAGTAAGAAGAATGTCATTTAGCGACAGACCATTAGAAGTTTGGCACGACGCATCGAATACGACTCGAAGTCGTGTTGTAGAACTGTCGTTTTTAATTACACAATGATGAGGAATATAATTTAACAATTTGGATGACACCTGTTTTCTTGGCAGTAATTTCATATGGTTCATTTCTATATATTCATTAATAAATGATGAATACTCATCATTAAGTTTTTTGTCACATTTTAATCGTTTTTCTAACAACAGAAATCTTTTAAGTGCGATATCATATGATTCCCCCAGTTTTTGAGCATTTGGTTTAAATGGAAATCTAACAACGAATTTGTTTGTTTGTGGACATCTATACGTTGTTTCTTCGAAATATCGCTCACAATCATTATTGTTTTCCTCCTTGTTTATTCTGTGGTGATCTTCAATTGTCCAAAATTTTTCTAAACAATCGTTTAATTTATCGAGAATTGTAGCACTAAATACGGAATTTTTTGGTGGTACTGATGGTGAGTGCGCTATCGATGATATTGCGCCTGCTACTATCCAACCCAAGGAGGTTTTTTGCAAAATAGGAAGATTATCTCGAAGTTTTATTTGACCTACCATAAGAAATTCATAAAAAATACTGGCACCAAGGAGTATATCAATTGAACCGGGCTGATTAAAATTGGGATCAGCTAATTTTATGTTTGCGGGAATATTCCAAGATTCTGTATTAATGTATTTTTGTAGCTGACATGTTGTTATTGAAGAAAGTATTATAGCATTAATAAAAGATATTTGAGGGTAATTCGTAGACTTGAGTGTAAGTGAACATTGGTAATATGCTTTAATCGAATTATCACCAATCCCTGAGATATCTAAATCAGTTTTTTGACGGGGTAAATGAAGAGTTTGGGCAACTCTTTCAGTAATAAAATGTAATTGTGAGGCTGAGTCCAACAATGCTCTAGCCACCATTTTTTTTCCAGATGCAACAGACAATTCCACCAAAGCTGTAGCCAGAACGACATCACTTCTGCTTCTTGATACATTTAGTACAGTTGGAGTGTTACAATTTGAGTTACCTTCATTTGTGGTAACATTGTCGGCAGCAATTGGATTTTGTTTAGCCTTTTCTCTGTGTAGTAGAGTATGGTGGCTTACTCGACAGTGTTGACAACGATTACTCGAAGGACAATTGTTAGATATGTGGTTAGGGAATAAACAATTTAAACATAAACCCTTTCGTTTTACTAATTCATAACGAGAAATAGGATCCATATTCGTAAAAAATGAACATTTGAAGGGGTTATGATAATCCGAACCTTCGCAAAGATTACAATATTGATCACCAGAAACGACGAATGAAGTTTGTTTTCTAGGTATGAATTGAGATGATCTGGATGTTGTGTTGGTTGCGATAATATCGAAGGATTGACATCTTCGTTCAAGAAAATTTGATAACTCACCCCATGTTGGTAAATAAAATGAGTCTGTACTATTTTGCTTAGCATTGTTAGAAACTTCTTCTTCCCATTTTGTTGCAACTTCTATATCTAACTTTAAGACAATTAATTGTAGTATTATGCCTTCTGAAATCTGATTTTTTGATGCAAATGATTGTAAAGCTCGAAGATTTCCATTAATACAGTCAACGAAGTTTCGTAATTGTATTACGTTTGGATTTGACATTCTTTGAATTTTAAATATTTCTTGAATATGAGAATTAAATATGTAACGTTTATTGTCATATCGTGATATAAGCAGATCTAAAGCCTTGCAGTAATTGTTTGCTGTAACTTCTAACGATTGAACTAGTTGAGACGCATCGCCGGTCAAACATGACTTTAAATATTGAAATTTTTCAACATTTGATAATTCATCATTTTTATCAACCATTACCGAAAACATGTTGAAGAAATTGAGCCACTGATTAAGTTGTCCATTAAACGATGGTAGCTCAAGTCTAGGAAGACTCACCTTAGCTCTCGATGATGAAGGTTCGTGTTGATTAATTTGAGTACTCGACAAGGGGTTAGTTGTAGTTTTGTGTAGCGACAATTTGTTAATGATTTTTGCTTTAGCTGCGCAAAATATATCCTCAAATTTGTCTCGAAAATCTTCCTCGATTTGTGACTCATCAATGTTTTCTAATTCTGATTGTATAGTCTCAAATTGTTTGTACTTTTGTTCGAGCAGTTCTAATTTAACCTCAAGTTCTGTGTATGACATCTCTTCAAAACATTGGCAACTGATATCTGTAACACGTTTTATAAGTCGATTCCGTTGCAAAATTTTTACACGAAACTTATTTATTGTTATATCAAATTCAGATGGAGTTTGCTCTAGTAAACTTTTATTAGTATTGTTAGGAGTATTATTATGAGACATTTTGTTATAATTTTTATCTATTCAAAACCTTTATTTAAATCCGGGATCCGGTTCGAAGGACCTTATGTGTAGATTTGATCGTTTTCAAATCCCTTGGTTCAATCCAAAAAAAATAGACCTTTATTCAATTTAAAATTAATACAAAGTTCTTTATTGTTTGCTTTTCCTTTATTTACAATGAATATTTGTTACTTGTCTCATCAGCAGCTAAAAATTTACTAAAAAAAATCTGTATACATGTTTTCTTCATTTGATCTACATTCTCTACTGGAAAGTTGCAATAAAGAAGTTAACCTTGAATAATTTGTATTTTAATATGCAATAACGACAATAATATTACTTAATTCGTTGTTGTAATGCACCATCTACAAATGTGTGCTAACATTGTGTAGAGTGGATGCTTACGGTTGTTAAAGTTATTTTGTTGTTGTTAAAACTGATGAGACAATTTCCAAACAATGTATAAGAGAAATAATAATGGTAAACATTAGTGAGTAAATACTAAATACATATATTGCAAACATATGTACATACGTATTAAGAGAATAAGGAAGAGGAATAATAAAATAATAAGATTAATTAACCCACTAAGGGCTAAACAGTATGTATGTATGTATGTATGTATGTATGTATGTATGTATGTATGTATGTATGTATGTATGTATGTATGTATGTATGTATGTATGTATGTATGTATGTATGTATGTATGTATGTATGTATGTATGTATGTATGTATGTATGTATGTATGTATGTATGTATGTATGTATGTATGTATGTATGTATGTATGTATGTATGTATGTATGTATGTATGTATGTATGTATGTATGTATGTATGTATGTATGTATGTATGTATGTATGTATGTATGTATGTATGTATGTATGTATGTTTTATGGACATCGTTACCCTGCTCGGTAAATAAGCTTAGAATTTAATTTGTAATTGTATTATAATGGACAAATAAATAAATAAATACTGATTCTATTTCAGAAATGTTACTGTGAACGTATGTATGTACATATATTGCTGATTACCAGGGCAAGGATTTCTGTGCATATGCAAGTAATTCTGTACATGGTCAATTACAATTACTTCTAATGTGTAATTGAGAAATAACACATTAAAATTATTTGTAATTGAAGTTTTTCCAATTACAATTACTTGTAATGTGTAATTGACCAATAACCAATTACAATTACTTGTAATTATAATTGAAGTTTTGCCAATTACAAATACTTGTAATTGCAATTGAAGTTTCCAATAAAAATTACTTGTAATTGTAATTTAGGTAATACTAATTACAAAATTACATGTAATTATAAGGAACAAAATTTACAAATACAAGTAACTGCAGATTCTTCAATTACAGTTAAAAGTAAATGTAATTGGCGAAACTTCAATTACAAATAATTGTAATTGGATAAACTTCAATTACAATTACAAGTAATTGTAATTATGTGTTCTTTTGGTACATTTTTTGTACTTTTATGAAATTTGAGAAATATTTAAATATGTAAATACTGGCCTCCGGTAGGTTAGTGGTTAGTGTTCTAGTCTGGTAGACCGGTGATGGTGGGTTCGATTCCCACCTGAGGCACTGGTTAAGGAGCGCACAACAGGCCCGATAGAGGCCTAGGTGTATTTCTTCGGATTTGATGTATATACATCCTCCTTTCAAACTAACTAACTAACTAAATATTTTTCCGTAATCGGTCAAAAATTTTTTGCAAAACATCAATAAAGAGGGAAAGATAGGAGAAAGAGGAGATACGTGATTTTTCTTAATAAATGTTCTACAGCACTCAAATTTTCAAGATTTATTTCTGAAATGATAAACAAAATACACTCGGAGGCCTTGTGGCCCAATGTGATACCCTTAGAATTGCTATTCCCTCATGTTGAGAGAATGGTTTCCTCCCTAATTTCTTTGACTACTTGGTTCCTGCAGTACACAGTGGGGCAGAATGGAAATTTTTTGGAAATAAATCTGGCATTTCTAAACGGCTGATCCGATCGGAATAAAATTTGGCGTGAGCGTAGCCAAGGAGTATTCGAGTTTAAGTTTTGAAGATGAACCCTGCAGATGCCCCAGGGACGGCGCTGTGGCGGCTCAAAGTAGGGTGCCATTTTTTTGTTTTTCATCCAAATACAAAGATTTTTATATTTTCTGAAAGCGCTCGACGAGATCTTGAAAAAACATGCTTGGACATACTACTTATCTCTTATAATATCCGAGTTATAGGCATTTAAAAATTTAGTGATACAAAATTTACCATAACTTGGTCCGCCTTTTTTTGAATACCGGGCGTAATTTTGGACCAAATGGACTCAATTTTTTCTTGTTAGTTAGACAACAAAATTTCCAATAATATACAAAAAATTTCAGATCAATATCATTTACAGATCCAAAAATATACGTTTTTTAATTTAAAAATTCAAAAAATTTTAGATTTTTGCCGTTTTTTTGCCCAAAATGTGTCTTAACTCTTTTATTAATAAAATAAAATTTTCTTTAAGAATATATCCCAAAGCTGGGATCAGAAAACTGAAAGCAGTTTTGGAAACCTCAATATGTTTTATATTTACTCCAAAAGTATTTTCCCAGCCCTGAAAGAAATGTGGACCCTATGGGCAAAAATGTAAAAAATCCCATTTTTGGGATTTTCATTCCTATTTTTGGGAATTGCGGGATGCCCTTTGACCTTTTCAATTTTTTTTTTGCATTTTCTTATTTGAAATGACAAATTTAACAAGCGTTGAAAATTTCATTGAGTTTTGTTCATAAATAAAGATTTTGTCTTATATTACATATTTGTTAAATTTCTAAAACTATGATTTATATCAAAATTTTAATAGGGTCGCAGATAGCTACAACTATTTAGTCCATATTTATCTCTTAATATCATTTTTTAGTTAGATATGGAAATTCTCGACCCTTTACAAAAAATTTCAAGCCAATATCTCAATTACATTCAAAAATATGTTCATTTAAACCTGTGTCCTTTAATTTCATCTTTTTCATATTTTAGTATTAAGTATGACAGAACATACATTTGGTGTTGAATAAAATATTTGGACAATTTTTAAAAATTATTTAGTTAAGTATTTTATTATAATATTGTATATAAAATAAAAAAATTATAATTTTATTATGAGCCACGCACAACAACACCTAAATCACCCCACACAAATTACCTTTCCCGCCCACCGAAATATAAAACACAATTTAATACAATATCATCAGTTAGTATAATAGCTTTTTTTATTTGAACTGTTTATCTTAAACATAATACAATTAATTCTTACAACCTACTTATATAGTTAATTCCTAACACTACTTATTTTCTATAAAATAATCTGTCATATCGGTATACATATCCAGAAGGTAATATAAGTCCTTTAAATCTTCCTTGTTTTGAGATGATAGAGTTTCATAACAAATCCATCTTTTTCGCATAGTTGAAAGAACAGGATCAGAAGATAGAAGTAAACTATTAAAAATATCTTTATTCTGTGATTGCCTGGAGCATTTTCTTGAGCTGAATAGTTGAACATGCTTAAAATCTCGATTCCTCGCTTCCTGGGCTTCTTCTGTTAACTCTCCAAGTGGAAGAATATTCGATTCAATTATTATTTGACCATGACACAATACTTTGTGTACTGTTGGTGTTAGTTCCCTCCATGGATACAGAGATACAAGTAATTTAGAAATTTCAGATGTGTATTCCCCAAATCGATTTTCATTAATTTTATGTTTACTATTCAGTGCCATTAAAATAGTTTTAACTCTTCGAAGCAACTCCTTGTCGATTCCAGTTATTTTTGAAGTAATTTCAAAATCACGAAAAAACCTTCTCGACGTATTACCGTCATTTGTACTACCGCAACTTGAAAGTGGTTTGTCGATGTTTAATCCCATCTGAACTTTAAATTCTTCTTGGATTATGCTTTTTTCCGCAGCTCTCAGTTCTTTCAATTCTTCATTATTTTTTGTTGATTTAGTAGGATAGTTTGTTTTTTTTTTTCCTGGATCGCCTTGTATGATGGTAATATATTGTGTCCTTTTTCATGCAGAGCTTTCCTTAATATTTGGTACTTATTTCGACTGAGACCCAGTTCCAACATAAGCACTATTGCTTCCTCTTCAGTAAAATTTGATTATGATGTTGGAGTTGGTATACTTTCCACAATTCGCTTAAGTCGTTTTGGTGATGCATTAGGAAGAATAGTTGCAATATGTACGACATCCATATGTTGGTTTTCCTTTTTCAGCATTTCGTTAAATGTATCAGCAATTTCCTCATTTGAGATTGAAAAAAGTTTTTGTGTGACCCTCTTTTTTTTTACCTTGAACATAAGTCTTCGTATGACTTGCAAGGCGCTCCTGTTGATGTGTTGTAAGTTGAGATTTCCGTAGTAGTTTCCATCCAACTACAAAATTTTAATCGAAATTTCTTTTGATTTCCATCCACAGACTTACTTTTTACATCAAAAAGTTTTAAAAAGTTTTCAATTTTTGATATGCCTGTTTTGTCTACTTTTCTACTATATGTAGTTTTTATATAATTTGAAATGTCTTCAATTCTTTCTGGCCCTTTTGAAGATATACTCCATAAAACGGAACACAACTCTTCGTACTTTAATGTAATCTTCATTGTAGATTTATTAAATATGGTACTTAAAATCTGAGAAGTTTACTTATATACCAATTCTTGTCATTTCCGATACAGCTATTCCAAAGTAAAAAATTACGAATTGTCTACCTATTAACATTTAGGACTATATTACTATAACCTGTAATTCAGTCATTGATATTTCTTATTAGTGAATGAATCGAAATTATCATTACCTGTATATTTTTACCTACATGATCATAAACGAAACAGAACGAAATGATCTGTCGAAAAAATTTAGGTAAAAAATGGTTATAAATTTTTGAAAATTCAAGCATAATAGGACCTTTCAATTATAAGGATAAGCAAACAAATAGAAAATAGG